ATATTACTTCGTAGGAATTTTTGGTGCATTTGGCTGCCACCCTCTCCACACACTCCATAGCCTTTTTCTACATGAAACTCCACCAAAGTGACCACCTTTCTTCGTAGTTTCTTTACCGAAACACCATAGCTAGGTGTGAGCTAGCATAGTGAGGGAGAAAGGCCTTCCATTTCTGCGTACTTGTTGCTGTTTGGGGTGAGTTGAGGGCTGAGTTCTTTGGTTAGGGGTGAGGAAGTCATCTTCTTAGCACTTGGTGCTCCAAGAAGCTACCTTTGGAGGAAAAGGACCTAGCTTGCAAGGCAAATTTGTGGCCTTGTGAAGTCAGTGTTGTGGGACTGTGTTGGAAGCTCCTAGTGTGTCCCATTTTCTGAGTTTTGAGCCTTGGAGGTAAACCATGATCACCTCCCTTGTATTTTCATGATTTTAGCTTGATTAATCCATTAAATAGGGAAACTTTGATCATTTGAGTTAAGGACTGATAATCTATGTTTAAAATACAGTAATAAACTTCTGTTTGTGGAGAAATTGGACTTAGAACCATTGGAGGACCTTTAAAATCGAGTTTATGCAGAAACTACACGAGTTTCTGCATTCTGTCTGAAAAGTATTCGAATACTTTTCGTGAAGTATTGGGATACTTTTCTGAGAATGGCAATATTCGAATACTTTAGTAAAAGTATTGGGATACTTGCTGGTATTCAAATACCTTAGTAAAAGTATTGGAATACTTGGTGGTATTCGAATACCTTAGTGAAAGTTTTGGGATACTTAGTGGTATTCGAATACTTTAGTGAAAGTATTGGGATACTTTTCTGGAAATGGCATTTTCGAATGCTTTAGTAAAAGTATTGGGATACTTGCTGGTATTCGAATACCTTAGTAAAAGTATTAGGATACTTGGTGGTATTTGAATACCTTAGTGAAAGTATTAGGATACTTGGTGGTATTTGAATACTTTAGTGAAAGTATTGGGATACTTTTATGGGAACAAAAGTATTCGAATACTTATCGGGGAGTATTCGAATACTTTTGCCAAATTAGCCTAAAATCACATAAAACAAGTTGGAAAGCCTTAAACACCTTGTGAAACCTTGGGCTACAAATAATAATGATTGTTTCTGCTATAAACAGACTGTGAGAGTGTTGTTTGGTGACTTTGGGCCGGTGTGAACTCTTTGATTGGATTGATTGCTTAAGAGGTAAGCTTCTGGTCCTCGGATTGATCTGTTGCTTGTTCCACCGACCTCCATGGGAGGGTGATTTATATGCATGTATGCTTTTATAAAAATGATATATGCATTGATATATGCCTGAAACATGTTGATATAGTTGTTGATGTAATGTATGAATGTGATGTTAGTACTTGTACGATCAGGCAGCAACCCTGGTGTGCAAGGCATGAGGCAGTATCCCTCATGTTGGTAGGTAACAGATGTGTATAAACCCTATCATGTTCCCTTACCAGTCGAACCACACTTACATACATCACATGAATAATGAGTTGTAGTATTTAGCTCGTTGAACAAGAGATTATACTGTTATGATTTAAATGCCTTAACATGAACATGCATTGAAATTACTGTTTTGAACTTATATTATACTTGTAAGTGAGATTTATTGTCTTGCTGAGATTTCTTTTTAGTGATCTCACCCCACGTTTGGGGCACATTTTCAGGTTCAGGTACCTCGAGGGTTGAGACCTCGAGCGGCAGGAGGCTGGAACTTAGTTGACTGTTTATGCATGTTTATGCTGATCTTCTTGGATGCCAATTTATGTTTTATTGTCTTTATATTGTCATATGATTTAAGACTCTATTGGGTTTTGTTGCCTTATTTGGTGAGCATGGGGGTTGTCCATGCCACATTGATGTTAGTTATGTGTAAGAACCTGCACCGTTAATTTAGGAAATTAATTAATTAATTAATTATGTGATTAATGAGATTATTCCATAATTGACTCTAATAATTATGAGAAGTCTTAAATAATTATGGTAAGTGATTAAGAATGCTGAAAGTCTCTTTTCTGACGAAAAGTGTAGATACGGTTTTGCTCCACGGTATATATGCGTACCGATGAAGTATCCCAAAAAATTATGAAAAGTATGTATATATCACTAGAATAATATATAAGACTAGCATAACAAGTTTCAAGTCGAAATAATGAGAACTGGTGCTAGAACTGATACTGGCTTTGTAAAAGCCGTACCAAAAAGGTGCTGCGAAAAATAAAATAAAAATATGACAAATCTTAGAAAAATGAGTAGGTTCAAATTCCTAAGTTTGGGAATAAAAATTCTAAGCGTAGCTATTATTGCTAATACAGTGTGGTTAGACTTATTGAGGCTATAAATAACCTTTGGCACAAAGACCTAGTTTATTCTGATTGCCTCCTGCGTGAAATTCTGAGCTTGTGAGTGCAGCCTCCTTCTTCACCATTCTCCATAGCTTTCCCCTCCAAAGAAACCATTTTTCTTCATTGTTTCTCTACCAAATCACCTTGTATGAGTAAGGGCTTGCCTTGGGTGTGAGTAGGGAACTTCTTTCTGAGTTTAGTTTCAGAATTTGTGAGACTTAAGGGATGTGTTTCTGAGTTGTGAGGGTGGAGCCTTTGTCATGGTATTTTGGGCTCCAAGGAGTGATATTTGATGAGAAAGAACCAACCTTTGATCACCATTTTCGTGGCTTGGCAAAGTCAGATTGTTGAGGCTTCTTAGAGAGCTCCAAGAGCACCTCTAGCTTTTGTTTTGAAGCCTTGGGTATGTTCCTAACCTTGATCATGAGTTTTCTTTGTTTAAAGGTTGAGTCTTGGCATGTTAATGAGTTAAATAAGTAACCAACCTGAACATGAACATAAAATTGAATAAAAATGCATGCTTGGACGTCCTAATGGGTTAAAAGTTGAACCTTGGGAGTGATATCTCGCGAAATGCAGAAACTGCATTCTGTCGCGAAATATCCGGATATGATATCCGAATATTGATATCCGGATATGATATCCAGATATGGGGTTGGAAATATCCGGATATGGATATCCGGATATGTCCCCGACAAATATCCGGATATTCTGGGAATTTCGAGACAGTAACTGTATTGTTCATACAGAATGGCATTTTGGGTTTGTGGACCCATGATTGGTTAGTGTGGACTTCTGTAATAATTAATCTAGGTCAGAATCAAAGTGATTAAGGGCTTATGACTTTGTGAGAAGCCTAAAGACATGAAACTTAAAAGGAAAGCGTTGTCTTTATGTTATATGCTTATAGATTATGAGTGTTGATATGATTATTTGTATGAACAGACTGTGAAAGTGCTGTTTGTGGACCTTGAGCTTGGTTGGACTCCTATTTGGATAGTTAGCTTGCGAGGTAATCTTTTGTGTCCTCGGTTTAGCCATTGTTGGTTCCACCATACCCCATGGGGGAATGGCTTATATGCATGATGTGTTTTCATGTATTGATTTATTGAAATGCCTTTGAGCTGTTAAGTGCAAATGCCTTTGAGTTGTTAAGTGCAAATGCCTATGATATGTATGTGATGTTTCGCCTAGACGGGATTATGATCCTGTGGGCAGGTACGACATGGGCGTGTACTATTGTGGGTTGTAGACGTACGTACATACTGCATTCCTCTGGCCAGTAGAATAGTTAACACACATGACATGATTATATGTTGCATTGCACTGATTTTGGAACTTATATTATATTACTGCTTTTGAACTTATATTGCACATGTAAGTGAGCTTGGGGTGGACAAATCCTTGAGGACCCCTTGTTTTATTGAGATTTTTGTTTAGAGATCTCACCCCACGTATAGGACACATATTTCAGGTTCAGGTAACTCGGGGGTTGAGACCTCGGGCGGCAGGAGGCCGGAGCTGAGTCGGGCATTGCTGCTTTTATTGTTATGATTGGATGCTGGCATGTTTTCTGCTATCTTTAGGATTATGTTGCTATTCTTGAGACTATGTTGGGCTTGTTGCCTTATTTGGTGAGCATGAGGGTTGTCCATGCCACATTGATTGACTATGTCTTATTTTGAGTTCGAGTTGTATTAATGTATCAAGATTATGTCCGGACTACGTGTTGTAGATCTGTGACTTAGATACTCACCTTTATTTATATATTGAGGTTATTTAGTGTAGATAGTTGTTTATTGCAATTACATACAGACAATATTTTGAAAGTGAGTTAAGTAATCAACTTGGTAATTGATAATGACGTTATAATTGAAAAGAAAAAGATATTCTGCATTTTTAATTAAGCGTGGCTTAATACGATGACATGATAACAAACCGGGTATACACGAGGTGTTAGATTATGCTTGTAGCTTTGAGTTGTATAAACTATCAGGATTTGTCCGGTCTAGGTGTTGTAGTTCCGTGACTAGAGACGCACTTATTTATATTATGAAGTTATTCAGTGTATACAACTTTTATTGCAATTTGCATACAGTCAATATTTTGAAAAAAAATTAAGTAATCAACTTGGTTAATATTAATGACGTCATAATTGAAAAGAAAAAGTTAGTTTCGTATTTTAATTAACCGCTGCTTAATACGATGATATGATAACAAATCGGGTATACACAGAGTGTTACATGGAACAACAACTAAGCATTTCTTTTAAATAAGAGATTACAACACCTACCAATTGGGTCAGGTTCATCATGAGCTGCAAATCCAATATTTTCAACTTAATAATTGAAAGCTTTACTGGAATAAAATTGATTAGTTTCCTTTAAAAATATTGTATACGTACTCTCTATGCTTTAGCATGATGGATTCATGCTTGTTTCATTGTAGGTTTACAATAAAATATTTAAATAAAAAGATAAAAAAAACATTATCATAGATTTGAATATGAATAATGTGGCGATATAATGAATGTATTCTCGCACCCAAGAATAAAAAAAGAAATCATTGATATGATAAAACAATCAATCCTCAAAATGAGTATAAGGAACTACGGATAATTATACTTTTTAATATTTCGTTATTCAAGCCAAAGTCTAAACAAAATTAATACGTGTTCGATGTTCCAATTAATGTAGATATGTGACGCGTGTAAACCCATGTAAACAATTATATATTTATTTGTTTTTCAAGTCGACTCCACTCCAGTCTTCAATTCTATTATTATTATATTGTCGATGTAATCCCTTGCATCACTTTTGGACCTTTTCCAATATGCATTAATGTATATCAATGCCACCTTCTCAATTTCCTTTTTCTTTCAACTTTTTCTGCACCGTATGATTCTAGTTGACAATTGAATATTATTAAATTACTTTCCTGTACTTTCCAAAAAAAGAAATATTAAATTAGCTTCATGGTTCTATAAAGCCAGAAAACCTTAGCACTCAAGAGACCAGTAACTTCATAAATATTTGTTGAAGTCAAGTAAATTGAAGTAGCTCAATGGCTACATATCAGGAAGAGGTGAAGCTTTTGGGAATTGTGGGAAGCCCATTTGTGTGCAGAGTGCAGATTGCGCTCAATTTGAAGGGAATTGAATACAAATATCTGGAAGAAAAGTTTGATAACAAGAGTGATGTGCTCCTCAAATACAACCCAGTTTACAAGAAGGTTCCTGTGCTTGTTCACAATGAGAAGCCCATATCAGAGTCCCTTGTGATTCTTGAGTACATTGATGAGACATGGAAAGACAACCCCATCTTGCCTGCTGAACCTTACCAAAGAGCGTTGACTCGTTTCTGGTCTAAGTTCATAGATGACAAGGTATAACTTCATTCTTCTATTTTCTTGTAAAGATGAAATCTCAGAATAAGTTTGAGAACTCAAATCTCAATAGTAAAGTATCAAACCTGAAAAAGTTTGAATCCATTTCATTCCATAAATTATACCTCTTGTAAACATATGTTCAAAATCATATCAATGATTAATCAATTTCATTTATAAACTATACGTTATATTATTATTGTGATCTATGAATTATATGGAATCTTATCGGGCTTTGGCAGATATTTTTTTTAACATAAGAATTCTGTAATATGCAAATCTGACAGTTGGTAGTTGAATCTCTAGATAAATAGCTTGTAATTGAGTGATACTTATCGTACGGATGACCATAAAAGCAGATACCATACAGTTGAATCTCTAACATAATTACTAATAAGCACTTTAATTTGTGAAATCAGTGCTTGGCTGCTGCATTCAAAGCTGCTTTCACCCTTGATGAGAAAGAGCGTGAGAAGGGTGTTGAAGAATCATCTGAGGCTCTGCAGTTTCTTGAGGATGAGCTCAAGGACAAGTTCTTTGCTGGTGAGAAATTTGGCTTGGTGGATATTACTGCTGTTTTCATAGCCTTTTGGATCCCTGTTGTTCAAGAAGTATCAGGGCTGCAATTGTTCACCAATGAGAAATTTCCCAAGCTCTACAGATGGAGCCAAGAATTTATCAACGACCCTGTTGTTAAGGAATCCCTGCCTCCCAGAGAACTACTCTTTGCCTTCTTCAAAGCTCGCTATGAAAGTCTTGTTGCTTCAAAGTAGATTACTTTAAGTCGTACTCATACTTTGAAAGGAGAACTGTATGAACCACTTGTCCGTTTTTGTGTTATTGCTGTTTGAATGTCATATCAAATTCATATATGTAACATAGGATTTCTCCTTGTGAAAAAAAATAAAAATCCTTGGATGTTGTTTCCGTTTTTGTTATTTCAGTCAATAAAAGAAAATATTTTTTCCCATTATATAAATTTTGTAGTGGGAAGCATTTCTCTTCCTTCCGAAAATCCTTGAATGCTCATACTTCTTATACTCCTAATGGTAGGAGACTTGAAGTTGCTAGTCAGCTACTACCTTCCAGTGATTAAAATTTTTTGTTCAATATGAAGGACAACATATCTGATATACAAATTGCAGTCAATGAACTACGCATACAAAAAATATTAGTAGAGAGAGCCAATGTATGCTGGCTCAACTGATTGACTAGATGCAGATTCAACACTATTGGAATATTTAAATCTGATGAGTCTCACATTAATTGGTAATGGGTTAAGTGAAGTCCATATAAGTGGAGGAATCTATAAAACCAATGCCTTAAGGTTTTAGGTGATGACATGGTATCAGATCCACTTGATGTGGTTGGTCTAGTTTAGCTCATTGATAGTAATCCTCTGTCATGGGCGGCCCCTTGGACCCGTCTGACAAGTGCAGTATTAGAGTTGGGATGTGTTTGGGCTTAGCCAGGAGTTTGGCTAGGGGACGGATTGAGTACTATTGCCTGGACAATCGGAAAGAGAAGGAGCATACGAATGTTGATGGAGCTTTGCTTGCTCCTCAAGAATCTCAAACATGCTACTAATGTAGTTATTAAGGAAAATCTATGTCAAGCTTTGAATCGTATGACAATCAAGCTAATCAAGAAATAAGAGAATCGTACCTTTATTGCGGGACTTGGTTTTCCTCAAAATTCAACTTCATTGGCTAGAATCCAAAGCCAAAGGAGTGCATTTTCCTTTTTCTTTAACCTTGAGGACAAGATGTCAGATTTTGGGGGAACATTTGTGAGGAAGTAATCTGTAACTCAGATTTATCTTAAGAGGCGCAACAAACAATCACACCTAAAGTGCATCCAAAGACATGGGTGGGAATTTAATGGACGTGAGTGACAAATTTAATTAATTAAAAAAACTTAATAAATGACGATGTTTGTCATTAACTGTGTCAATTTAATTTCTTTATAAATAATGTGCACTTGTGCAGGGTTACATAATGCTATATATATATTATGGTACACAATTGATTTCAGCACATCATTGTTCTTGGTATTTTATTTTTAATATCTAAACTGAGCCACTAATATTTCATTTTCAGTATTAATATAATGATCAATAGGTTACACATGAACTGGATCCACGCACATAAGAAATTATAATTACATCATGTTCTTGACCTTGGAAATCATCAAGTATATTGTTATATAGATCTTTTCCTTCTTCAGAATTTAAGACCTCCTCAGACTCACATTGGAGGCACTTCAAATGCAGCTTGCAAGGAGTAACTATGCCAGCAGTAATCTTTCCCAGTCCCAAAGATTTCAATGTTTTCTGAATATACTCATACACTCGGAGACAAAATTTTGCTTCATGTATATTTTGATAGGATACTGATCCACCTCTGTGAGACTCCCGTTCAAGTAAAGGGTCCTTGTAGTAAGCTTCATCAGGCAATTTAACCACACTTTCCCTAAAAGTCTGCTTCTTGTTGGAAAGATGTTTCTTGTTTCCCAACTTGACAACACTGGGGCTTTGACCACTCTGTCCCAACTTCCTATTAGGAATGAGTGCATTCTGTCGATTGTAGGAGGAGGTTCTGTCTCATTGTTTAGCCTCCTAGACTTGCCAAGTAGCCCAGAATCATCACCATTACAATCTGATTTAGTTTCAGTTTCTCAGCTATTCCAACACGCTCAACTTGTGTGGGAACAATACAAACTTCCTCCACAGCACGATTAATATTTACAGCTATTCCAACATGCTTGCTTGACATCTTCCAAGTTAAGAAAAACATGCTCTGTCTACTATGTTTCATTCCCAACATTATTTGCACACCTAAGTGCATGACTTGCTTCGAAACGTTTTACTTCTTTTTGCTTGGGAACAAAACTAGGTTCCACCTGTGCATCAATAGAAGCTTCACTTTTTATGTTGGTTTCAGAATTTGGGATACTATTGCTTTTCTGGTCACTAGAATTTGATTCTAGACCTATAGAAGCACGGCTACTCTTTTAATCATTTATATTATCAGAACTCTTAATAATACTAGACTTAGTGTCAGAGGCCACTACAACACTCCCATCCACCATTCCAGATGTTGCTTGCTCTTCTAAAGCTTGACTTCGTTGTAGCACATTTGCTAGGGTAAATAAATATGCAGCTCCTTTTTTTTCCCTTTTATAGTTATTGCTTAAAACTTCATTATTATAATAATGATAATAATAATAATAATAATAATAATAATAATTTATTTAGGATGCTAAAACTCCATAAATACAAAAGAATGTATTTCTTACCATGAGCTTATAAGAAGGAAATATGAACAAAATAATTTGGAAAGAGAAAATGTAATAAATACTAACGAGGACCCTAATTTCAAACTTAGGGACTTTCATTTAATTTTTTTTTAATGCAAAAAAAGATTACAAAAAATATATAATAATAATAATAATAATAACAATAATAATAATCATCATCATCATCATCATTACAAGTGGTCTAGTGGTGATGGATTTAAATAATTTGTATGAAGTCATAGGCTCAAATCTTAATACTACTATTATATATAAAAATAATAATAATTTAATCCTCTACACGCTTAGTACTTCCTAATTGACAACTAAGACAATTAAGAATAAAAGAGGGCACCGAATGCTGGTACCTCAATTGGTGTATAGGAGCTGAGTAGTGGAAAGAAAAGGATTTCGGCTCGATCTTCACATGCCACCTTTGGGAGGGGCTTAAAATCTTTATCCCTACCCACCTCGAACTCCGAATTAGTCTCATATTTAAGTCAAAGAATCGAAGCTTGTGGATAGGGGTGTTAAGGGGCCGAGCCAAGCTTTGGTCTTAAAATGCTAAGCCTGTGTTTAAATATGTCAGTCTGACCAAGCATGTTACCTGTTATGGATATACAATCAACAGCACAAGTAATTCCATAAATATTAGTAAATTTAATGTACATCTAAACAACATAATATAGAAAGAAATAATTCAAAAAGTCTGTTTAACCAATAAAATGGGGTGAAATGGATTGAGGAGAGAGAGGGATACTAAAAGTAGTATAAAAAATATAAAATAAAAATAAAAATAAAAATTAATATACTAGGCCAGCCTGGGAGGCTCTAAGGCCGAGCTTTTGAATTGGAGCCTGAGGCCTTTTTATTAAACGAGTTTTTATACAAGTCCAAGCCTGGTTCCAACAACCAATTTTAGACATGTAAGCTCAGGCATTCACGAGCCGAGTCAAAGGCCTCTGGTTCATTTACCACCCCTACTTGTGGAGATATAGGAGGGAGTATACTCGCCTCAAAGAGATAATTAGGGGCAAGGAAGCAGACCCGCTTCTTTAAAAAAAATATATGTGTCGGACACCGACACACAGTCAATACTCTGACACGTTTTCTGACACTTTTTTATCCTAAATTTATTTTATGTTATCTTTTTAACTAAACATGAAAAATTAATTTTTAAACCAAATATTTTTTTTATTGAATTTGACATGAAAAATTAACAAGACATGAAAAATTATTTTTGCTTTATATTTATGTTATGGAATTTGAATATTTGATTAGGCATATGAGTTATTATGGGCTTCTATATGTATTGAATGTAAACTATATTATATATATTAAAAATATTATTTAATATCAAAATGTGTCCTAACGTATCAAAATCTAATATTATTTAGAATTAACGTGTCGGCATGTCGCATCCTGTAATGTCCAATATCGATGTTGGTGCAACAGAGATTAGGGGTATGTTTCAAAAAAAAAAAATTGAAATGGAGCTGGTTGACCGCTAACCCGCTAATACGGGGCTGGTTGGATTATTTATTTCAACCCGCCAACCCCTTGGTGGCAGGGTAGGGCAGGTCAACCCATGGGTTATTATTATTATTATTTTTAAATATTAAATGTTAGATGATGGCTTGGTTGGTTTGTGTTAATGGCTATTGTATGAGACAAAAAAAAACCTATTTTACGGCCATAATTCTATTGTTTCATTTGGGAGGTTATATTTTATTCACTTTTAATTTGACAGAAAAGATATTAACACAAAAAAAGAAAAAAAAACCTGAGATTTTTTTTGGATTTTAATGTTTTTTTTATACAAACCAAACTATATGCTTATGAAATTCTAGTTATATAATGCAATGATGTGTTCAATTGTATTATTCACATGTCTGGTGTCATTCTTTTCATATATAATAGCTCTAGAATTATTAATTAATCTTAAACATGGCTTGTGTAGCTATGTTAAATTAAATTATTGTTTTAAATTATTCTTTTGTCATTAGCTTATTGTTTGACGCTTGTTTCAAACTTGAGAAATATTTGGATGTTAGAGATTAGAAATAAAATATTAGTATTTCTTACCAAAAAAAAATATTAGTATTAAGTATATATATTATTTATAATATTTTAATTTTTTAGGCGGGTTGACGTGTAACCCATCTCAAAACGAGTAGAGTTAATATTTCCAAATCACGTATCAATGGCGAGTCAATCTGTCTAGCCCCGATTTTTGCGAGTTAAAGGTCGGCGGGACGGGTTAACCCGTTTTGTAAGTATTGTCTTATATACAAAAGATTTTAATTTATTTTATAATTAACTAGCTCTCGTGGTTCAAACTTGTCTTTCCCATCATATACCTTTCATTTAATTTTATTTTCAATTTATTTATTATCTTATCACATTTTATTCTTTTTGTATTCTTCATTTTTATTTTCTATTCCTATTATTATCAGCTTATAGTATAACAACCCACATTATCAAGTTTGGTAAAAAAAAAAGGGGGTTAAGTAAGTATTTAAAGAAATTAAGTATGGATTCAAGGAAATAATGACAAGTTAATCAGGTGATCAACATAATTTTATAATGACA